ATCTTGATAGCATGCCACCTATGGCAGCTGTTCAGTTAGTTGATCTTGCATACTCTACGTCTACAGTACTACATACTCAATAGATTAATAAATAGCAAATGTTTGTACCAAAAAAGATTTGCAAACAGGAAAGGCATGTGGGAAAATACATTAATTGAGAGGGAAGTCTTTCCAGATAGTCTCTGAAATGTGTAAATTCGGATAGTAGCAAACCAAAATGGTCTGAAGTGCAAGTGGGAATGTGACCTGCACAGCTCTGGGCGCAGACTGAAGTGGCCAAACCAGCGCAGCCGCCATTCCTGGCCCAGCGGTCTCTGCTCGGGCCCTGTGGCTGCTGTGAGCCTTGGGAGGATTCCAGGCATTGATCTTTTGGTAGGCACGGTTCCCTCTGCGGCTGCGCTGAACTACATCTGTTCTTCAATCCTAAGAGGAAGAAAGGAGGAGAGGGGCTGGGGGAGGTCATTGAAGGGGAAGCCTAAGGGTCTGTGAGATTAGTTCCCAAAATGGGACTATGCTGTTCTGGCAGTCACCTCATTATGCAGGCAGTGGGAGAGATGGTGTGTGAAGAGTCTTCAGATAACAACTTCAGCAATTGAGCTTTGTCATGACACTTATTTAAATATTTTTTAAAGTATAAAAAAGTGAGTGCAGGTAGGTTTGGTTTTCTTATATACATGTCTTTCTCTTGGGTTCAGCTTGCCAAAGTGGAGCAGAATGCTAACTTTGGTGATGTATCACCGTGACTTAGCAGACTTGGTCACCTCTGGATGCTAGAAGACTGTTTGTGAGAGAGCAGCTGGAGCCAATTCTGTGTTTGATGTGCTTTAATCATTTAGAGAACCCATTGTCCATCGGAGATAAAAAGATTAGCAACTTAGCCCCACTACTGCTATGACTTGCCAGCTTGGCACTCTGTTAATGCAGTGAGCTGTACTCTGTTTCCTGCCATCTGCAGTACGAGGCAGCCGAAACCTGGGGGGAAGTCTTTAAAAATGTTCATAACAAACAGGTTTCCATGCAGCAGCTCATAGTGTCAAGGGGTGTAAAAAGAAAGGAATTCAAGCTGCTTTGGGGTGCATAACATGAAATGTCTCTGTCATAAACCTGATATTTTTGGTATGAAATTAGCAGTTTAATTTGTATGTCATAGTAGGTTTCTGCAAAAAAGAGGTAGAGAAACTAGTTAGATGTGTTTGGTTATTTCCATTTTCTGGCTTTGGTGCTGTGGGGCAGTTGCAAGGTCTGCGCTGTTGCAGACACGCTCAGATGATGCAGAACCACCCAAAACCCACAGCTTTTTTATTATTATTATTAAAATCACTGCCAAATGAAATGTCTTCCAATTTTTTTAAATTTATTAAGACATTTTACCTTTGTTTAGCTGTGTTCCAAAATACTGAAGTTTTAACTACACACTAATACAGTTCTTAGTCTGCGTTCTGCAGCAGGTGATTCTGAGGTTCTGTGGACAAGTGTTACTTAAATACAGTGTTTAGGGTCCTAGAAACGTACCGCTCCTGTAAAGCAGAAAGACTGGCAAAGCATACTTCACCCCAGAGACTGAAAGCTTGGAAATGACTGCAACCATGGTGAATGCTGCTATAAATAATCTTTCAGTAAATCTCTTAAGGGGTCAGTGTCTGTGGACAAGTTAGAAATCTGGGCATTTGACATACCTGCTGCTTTTTAACTGTGTTCTGCATGTGTTTACTGAGTGCAGAATCTTGCTGAAACCTGCAGTGTGCTTGTTGCTGTCTTGGTGTTGTAGGCAGGAGTGCTGTAATCAAAACCCTTTGATATGTGCCTTTGCAATGTGTACAGTAAGGAAGGGAATTAAGTAAAACTCCTGTAGTTAATTCTGGCAGGTCATGCCCTGCCTACCACTAAGGGACTTAAAAAGGAAGGGAATCACATGTTACACAGTAATCCTGCTTTCTTGAAGTGTTTTAGAAACTTATCCCTCTCCACTGCTTGGCTGCCCATTTCCTATACCAAAAAAGCTAATGGAAACTGTCTGACAGTCTAGAAAGCAGAACAGGGTTTTGAATCCAGCTCTCCTGTGACTGCTGTTGCATTTTAAAGCATACTTACATCATTTGGGTGCTCTTCTGCCAGGCAGAAAAGGACCTGGGGTGTTGGTGGACAGCAATGCCCATGAGCCAGCAATGTGCCCTTGAGCCAAGAAGGCCAACGCCATCCTGGGCTGGATGAGAAGGGGTGGGTGTAGGGCAGAGAGGTTCTCCTGCCCCTCTGCTCTGCCCTGCTCACACCACAGCTGCAATCTTGTGTCCAGTGCTGGGCCCTCAGCTCAAGAAGGACAGGAACTGCTTGAAAGAGCCCAGCAGGGCCACAAAGATGCTGGAGGGAGTGGAGCATCTCCTGCTGAGGAGCGGCTGAGGGAGCTGGGGCTCTTGAGCTTGGAGCAGAGGAGACTGAGGGGTGCCCTCATTCCTGGGGATCCATTGGGAAAGGGCAGTGTCAGGAGGAAGGAGCCAGGCTCTGCTCTGGGATGGCCAATGCCAGGACAAGGGGCAATGGTCCCAAGCTGGAGCACAGGAGGTTCAAGCTGAAGATGAGGACCAAGTTTGTCAGTGTGAGGGTTATGGAGCATGGCCCAGGCTGCCCAGAGAGGTTGTGGAGTCTCCTTGTGTGGAGACACCCAAAGCCCTGGCCGTGTTCCTGTGTGACTGCTCTGGTGATCCTGCTCTGGCAGGGGTTGGGCTGGGGGAGCTTTGAAGCTCCCTTCCAACTCCTCATATTCTGTGATTCTAAGCATCCCTGGTGCTAATATTACCATTCTCAGTGGAACTAAGTCTCAGTTGCAGCACTCGGCGTCTTCTACAGTGCAGTCATGAGAGTCTTTGTGCAGGAGTTTCTCAAACACTGTGGATTAAGGCTTGAGAAGTTATTTCTCTCTTTCTCACGGTGGGATTTAGCTATTGGCTTTTTAAACCCTTGCATCCCTTAAGTAACAGAGCCAAGCAGACAGCTGAGCTTCCTTGTAGCAAATGAGCATAAAGTGGACATGTGCATGACCCTTCGCTACCAGTCTAGCTCTGTTACTATGAACTGTCTGCAAAAGCGGGGCTGATAATACTGTAAAATCAGAGCAGTTAAATCCCATAACATTTTCCTCTCTGAGTCCTAAAACAGGAAGCTGTGGGAGCTTGCACCACAGTTAGGAATTATGGAAACAGCTGTAGCCCCATGGAGTTAACAAGGCCAATATAGACACAAAGGAGATGAGCAGTTAAAACATTTGCAATGCTTTCTCTCCCCCAAATGTGATCTCTCCCTTACAAATCAGGTAGACTGTTGAGAAAGTTCAGAGAGAAGCAAATGCTTCTGTTATCTCCTCCTTAAAGTGTAAAAGACCAGGGATAAAATCCTCAGGCCTACTCTTGTCTGGGGTAGGAGAGCCAGGAGATGATAAAGGAGATCCAGAAGATAACAAATCAGGATGTGGTGGAAGCCCAGTTCTTTCTTTCTCAATGCAGACAGCTGCTTTCCCAAAAATCACCTCCCAAAACCCTGTCAGAAGGAAACTGTATGGTTCTACCTGTTCCTTGCCATCAGAAGTATTTCACATGCATTGCAGTCATGCCAAAAAATGTGAGAAAAAAATAATGTGATTTTTTTTGTAGATAAAGACAGTGCAGTTAGTATGTGGGGTGATTATGTGGTGGTGTTTTAGCTTCTAAATTTTAGCAGTAGACTTGCCAGTAATGCAAGGTGGTGATGCACCATTAAAACTATTTGATTAGCAACTTGTCTTATATACCTGAAGCGTGAGTTTTGATCTGTTTCCATTTCCAGCATCTGAGTTGCCAAGTATGTGAAATGTTACAGCTGTGGCGTCTAGAAGATGTAATCACTACTTGTCAGTTTACGAGAGGCTTGTCGTGGGCTTAGCAGCTCTGTGAAGCTGTAGGTTAGTCTGGCCAAGGAGAGAAGGAAAGCTGCACCACATGGTGTTTCAGATCAGTGAGGGGATAATGGCATCCCTATTCACCAGTCCATTAACTGTACAAGTCCTGCTTTTATCAAACTTATGCCCTGCGGTGATCAACTTGTGTGTGCGTTACTTGTCGTGTGTTTGAGTGAAACCCTCATTTGCTGATGCAAAATAAACCCATGGGTGCATGTGCACAGATGGGTAAGGATGGGATTATTCAAGGTCAGGTGATCCTGTCTGTGCTAACGCAGTAGGGGATTAACGAAGGAAGGATTTTACTGTTAAAAATGACCCACTACACTTGTTCCATGTGAACAGATGCTGTCTGTACTGCAGTTGGAGATGTAGCTGCAGTCCAGCAGGATGCTCCCAAGCTGACTTTAATTGGTCTGGACTGTGTAGCAAAGATACGAGAGCACAGGCACCAACTGCTCGCTTACAGCCCTTGCTGCATTTGTACAGCCTGGAATGCAGTCTCTGTTCTCTGTTCCTGCTGTGCTGTTGCTACTCAACCCACAGCACAGGGCACCCTTCTCGTTGCAGTGTGGACACAGCCTCAGCAGCCAGAGTCAAGTCAGCACAATCTTCGTTCTTGATCCGAACTACAGGCAGGCAGTGTGGCATCCGGGGCCAGCCCCAGGCTTCCCTCGTAGGTGCTACACTGCCAGCAATGTGAGATACCTCTCCCCAGGCCTGAGCCGCTGGCAGGCGTGAGGCCGATGTGTTACACGACTCTGGTTCGGATGGTTTGTCTTTACGGGAGTGGGATTTATTTCTAGTAGTGACATGGCACAAAAGGAAGTGCTGTGTGAAATTACTGCTCTCTTTCTTTTTCGTACCTATCAGAGGTTGAATTCCCTCCCACTTTAGTTTGTATTTCAAGGCAAAATAGCTGATTCTTTTGGGTTGACGGAAGAATCCAGATTAGTCTGTTGAAACCTAGTGTTAAGTGTTCCTTATGTACCAGAACAGAGGAAGTAATTATCTTTAATTATTTTGGTTGTCCTCTGCTTGTTCTAAATCCCCCTGTGTGTCTCTTGAACAGGCACAGAGTCCTTGGCTTCCCCACTATGGAGCAGTTGATGTCCATTTTAATGGCATGGCTGACTGTTTCCGGCAAACTGTGAAGAGCAAGGGTGTGCTCGGACTCTGGAGTGGACTCACACCCAGTCTGCTCAAGGTGAGCTTTTGCTTTCGTCCCAATAAGACTATCCTGAAGTAATCAAGACACATTTTGGGGCAGTTTGGGTTAGGGTTCAGTTAAAGCTTATGACGTGCCTCTGTCCTTGTTAGCAGCCGATAGGTGACAGAGTCTGTGGCAGAACAGGTGTAACCTCAGGCAGGTTTGGAGCCATTTTTGGAATTCGGTTTGGTCATATTTCCTCAAATATAAACTTGGCTTCTAGATGCCACAATTTTCAAGATCATTTGAGTGTCCTTAGAGACAGGAGTGCTGCTGACACGCAAGCCAGGGTACGGACAGGGGATTGCAAGTGATCCACTTATGACAGCTAAACAACTTCTGCTGCTCAGCTGAGCTCCAGTAATTTGACGTATTGTGCCAGGCTGTAAAGACGATTGTGCTTCTGTAAGCCACGTCCCCAGGAGTCAGAAGTAGCACTTTTGATCAGCTATTTAATACATGCATATCGGTTACTGCAGCCCGTGCTGAGTTGAAAGCATGAAATAGAACACAGCAGCTTAAACAGAAGGTAATTTAGTTTACATTAATACATTTTGTATTGTTGTGGTATTACCTGCATGGAGTCCTGCAGGTCAGATAATGAGTGGTAATTGGGTGACAATGTGATTGGTGGTGATGGTCTGCTGCTGCCTGGCCCTGTCTTTGCTGGTGTAAAGACACATGGCACCAGAGCTGCTGATAGTCTGCATGGGGCCAAAGAAGAACACTGTTCAGTCACTCTGCTGTGTGTAGAATAAATCCCACATTTCATACTGGGATTTGCTGAGGTTGCTTAGGATTTGCTTAGGTATTTGACAAGTTGTGATAATCTACAGGCTAGCACAGCCCTTGTTCCTCACAATATTGTTATAATTAGTTACATACCAATAATAACTCCTACACTCAGCGTGCTGCAGGTGCCAGCCCAGTTCAAGGTCAAACTCTGATTTTGTATAAATGAGCACAGCTCTGTTGGCAGATCAGATCAGATTTGAAGTCCTAGAAATTTCCTTTTTTAAAACATCTAAACTAAGAATGTTACTAGTAAGTCTAACATTGCTTTTGTATCTTATGTTGCTTTTTAATTTTTTCATTTTACCAGATTGTCCCATACTTCGGTGTTATGTTTAGCACCTTTGAATTCTGCAAGCGGGTCTGTCTGTACAGAAATGGTTATATTGAATCTCCTTTAAATTACAAGCTAACTCCTGGTGTGGACCAGAGTTTACAGCCACAGGAACTGAGAGAATTAAAGCTCCTTCGAAGGGACAATTTTGAGCCAAGGAAATCGACTCTTGAAAACTGACACGGGAGTGTCCATTGCAGATACACACACTGCCTTTCTTAAGGACTGCAGGTACCAGTGTTTCAGTGGTTGGCATGCTTTAGTACTGAGACACCAGTCCGAGGAATGAATATTTTATTTCTCCCATTTGCTGAATGGATGTAAATGGTATGAGTAGCAAGCATATACTGAAGAGGAGAGATGCAGCTAGTTTGAAGGCACTGCTATTGGAACTTGAAATTACATTATTCTAGGTGCTTTTTGGTACTGAATAGCCATTTTGAGATAAAACCACTTGCAGAAAGGCAAGAGAACTGAGATGAGAGAGTATCTTCAGAAATATTAAGAAAATTTAAATTTATTTTTTTAAAGTAGTCTGAGATACCAAGTCACCCAAAAATTGTAAATAGATTAGAATACATACAACATGCAATAATTTCTACTGAAGTCTCCTTTTTTGGGTGATGCTGTGTGGATATGACATTCTGCAGATGCAGAATTAGTCTTAGTTCAGTTATGTTCCATAATCCACTCTTCAGTTTTTGAGACTTACTTGAGAATAATAATTTTGTATGACTGTTCAGTGTAGAGGTTAAAATACGCTGCTGCAACTGTGGTTTTGCCAAGAGAGAACTGTGATGTGCAAAGTGAACTGTAATGCACTGGAATGACAATCTTGCAAACTTAAGTGCGCACTGGATAATCTTCCCCCTCTTCTCCTGCATTGTTGCTGCACATACGTGAATAATTTCAGGCTTTGAAAAATAGTTTTCCTGAAGCTCTCTAACTGAAATATTTCCTGAAAAATGCAGTCCTTAAATGTGTTAGATATTTCAGAGCCATGACCCTTGTAGTTTTGGTATTCTTAAAGCTCTGTTTTTATGTTAAACCGCATTTTAGTTCCTGTGCACAGGCCCAGGCCTACTGTGCTGCTCAGGACTTGCCAGCAGAATACCCCCATGCACACAGCCTGTGATCTTTCCACTTCAACTGCTGTGATCCAAGAGCCACAGATAGTTTCTGTGTTGTTAGAAACTGCAAGACCACTGGGTGCCAGTCCCTTCAATAGGCCTCTGACCAGTCTAGGGAGCTTTTGGACAGTAAAGCATCATCTTGGTATCCTACCCAAGGACCTGTGGTATTGCTCCGGTTCCTTTGTAGAAGTACAGCTATGAAACAGCCTCAGCCCATGCCTTCTGATAGAAAACCTTAAACCCTCACGTGATTCCACGTGAGAAGACGGCTCTGCCCTCTGTGCCGCTGGCCCCGAGCTGTGGCAGTGTGAGTCACAGCGGCTCGGCAAGGTGTGTGCACATCAGCCGCGCTCCTGCCTGAGTTGCAGCAGCCTGGGTTCAGCACAGGATTTGTCTGTCAGTTTACACAGTGTTCTCTGTGTGGTTTTGCACTGTTTATGTCCCTGCTGGGTGAAAATAAGTAAATCTCAGAACCTGCTTGGTTAGGCCAGGTCACAGGACGAGGCAATGGCAGATCAATGCAGGAACAGCCTGTAACTATGGGGAGAGATTTGCAGAAAGATTTGGGATGTCTGTAAGGCCTGCCTCGCAGCTAGAACTCACAGGTACTGACACTTGAGATGTATGAATAAGGAGATGTGACTTCTGAGTGTGCTGGGGAGAAACAGATTTCTAAAGAGTGCTCTTACCTCGTTGAAGCATACCTGTATGTTTTTTACTAACGTCGTATTTCTAAATAGATTGTAAAGATTGAGTGATGGGTGTCTATGAATGTCTGATCAGCTCTTCAAACCTGGTAAGAGTCAAGTGAGTCAAAAAGTTACCTCTAACTTGTCTCTGATATGCTAATAGCACCTTTGTATTGTAATGTACTCCTGCAATCTATAAATCACTTACTAACCTTTTATCAACCAAGCCTCTACTTTGCATAATCACATCTGTGCATGAGAAATCCCCCAGAAGGTGACACTAGAATATTTAAGATAGTACTGAAGCAAAGTGCTTCAGCAGTAGGTCACTAATGTGTAAAATGATGTGTGATTGTGAAGAACCAGTTAATAGCAAAGGCTAAACTGCAGCGATGACTCTTAGGTAGGTGAACTCTTAACTCAGGTGACATTTGGATGCAGTAGAGGTGGTGGGTGGCAGTAGGTTTCTGAGCACCCCCTCACAGCTGAGCTCAGCAGTGTGGCTGATGTAGGGAATCCACACCGTTCTGAGCTCTGTGACCCCCAGAATATAGCACACGCAGAGGGACAGCAATGGGAGAGGTCTCCGAGTCTCAGCTGCGGTTCCATGAGGTGGGGCACTTGGACTTGATCCTGAACCTCTCCGAGCAGACTCTGCGCCTCCCCTCCTCCTGCCCGAGGCGCAGCCGTGCTCTGCC